CATGTAAATGGAGAGTCCTCTTCACACACTAAGGTTAATTATGAAGTTCCACAGGGTTCATTGCTAGGACCACTTCTGTTTACATTATACATGCTTCCCTTAGGCAGCATCATCAGAAGGCATAGCATACATTTTCACTGTTGTGCAGATGACACACAACTATCTAATCCATGAAGCCCGATAACACACACCAAGTAGTTAAACTGCAGAACTGTCTTAAAAACAAAGACCTGGATGACCTTTAATTTTCTGCTTCCAAATTCAGATAAAACTGAGGATATCAAACTGAGGTGATGAAACCGCCATGGGAAAGTCAGACACAGATCAGCATGGTTCAAACAACAGGTGATCAGCGACCATCGCCACAGTGACCAGCAGCACACCCTCAACACTCTGAAAACGGCTCTGCGTATCTGCTGTACCACCAGGTGTGTCCATGTTACATTTGAGCAGCACGCTTTCGAAGTAGAATGCTTCGCGGAGAAACTGCACATCTGTAGGATGTCTCAACAAGACCTGTGTGTACTAACACACAGGTGTTGCGAAAACACGTGGACTCACGAATCAGCTTCTTTAACGCTGAGCTGCAGCCATCACACAGGTAATGTGTGAGGGCAGATAAACGGGGTTCGAGTGGTTCTGACAACGGCTCTACTTTTTCTTTTTCACAGAATTAAAGTGGCAGCTTTCTAAACGCTTTGTTTACACCTTTAGAGGGACTGCGGGTTTCTGAGCCCCTGTCCGCGCTGGGCGGCGGAGCGTTACTTTGGTGACTGTCGCCTGCTGAGCGAGGTGGGCTCAGCTGGGCCAGGTGCTGTCCTACCTTTCTCTGCAGCTCCCACACGTTGATGAAGTTCTTGCCGAGCTGCGCGGACAGCAGGTACTCCCCGCCGAGCACCGTGAGGCTGCGCGCGCCGCTGTTCCCGCCACGGTACGAGAGCAGACTGGAGCCGCTGTGCGGGTCGAACACGGTGCAGTTCCACAGCTGGGACCCCGAATCGCTGCTCAGCAGGACCTCCAGAGGAGCCGCCATCATCCACACACACACCGGCCACCGCTGTACACTCTACGTCACGTCCGAGACCGTTACGTCACGTCCGGGCGCGGTGCACTGTGGGAGATGTAGGGACAGGCTCTATTTAGAAACACCTGTTTTTCTCCAAAAATATTTAACACAAGTAAAAATACAACTTAGAGCACGGGAGGCGTTATTTATACAAACATTCTGAACAAATGATAAATCATTCAGGTTTTTACTCTCCTGAAAGCAAATATGAATATTTTGCATAATTAAACCTCCATTTTAAGAACCGCACATTTTTACCCCTCAACCACAAAAGGCGGATGGGGTACGATCATCCCCCCTGCTGGGAGGCCAGCGTGGCCACCGAGGTTTGTGAATGCGATAACTCAAGAACACGTAGGAGTTTTAATTCGACACCGCAGGTGTCGCTACAAAAATCTTGGACGAGTTCAAATCTCAGTGTCCTCGTTTTCAAGTTCAAAATAAAACAGGACACATACACTGTATATTTTTGTCTTTACAAATCACCGACCCTGGATGAAGAAAAACAGCCCCAGATCATCAGACCACGTCTTCCTCCACGTTTGACATCTGATGTCACACACTAATGAACCATCCCTTTGCCCACTCAACGGCGTACAAAAATCCTGCATGATGAACTGAAGGGCTCAAATATTGGTTCATAAGTCGATAACAACTTCTTCCCAGTCAGGCAAGCTTTTTTTTTCTATTCTAACATCTTAGCAATGCCTTTTTTGCTCCAACTTAACCTCTCAAATTTGTAAATGAAAGCCTTGTCTTTACAGACTAAACTGAGACTTTCTTACTATAATCACTATTAAGCTGTTCTTGAAGCTTTGATTCTGTGAGGGGCCTATCACGCTTGTAAGGACACCTGTAGAAATTGGTAGCACCAACTTCAATTACAGTGCTCTCGCCCTTATCACTTTTCCTACAGGTCAGATTGGAGTGTGTTTGACGTTATAAATATCTTAGAACAGTTATTGATTTAAAGCGTAATTAATTTTAAAGAAAAGTGATGGGGCACTAGCGACTCGTGTTTGAGTAAGCTCTGTTGAGCAGTGCAGCATCAACAGCGATGAACTCGAAGGAAAAATGACGACGGAGCAAAAGAATATCCTTAAGCTCTTTGGAAACTTTATTTATACACTGACACACATTACATCCTGTCTTTCAAAGCGAACATTCCCGAGTTCCACCCGCTCATTTGGTCAGGGCTGAGATGAGGCAGCATACGTGTCTTCACGGATCAACTGTGCCCCCTTGTGGTGACAACTAAAATACTGCGTCTCAGTCAAACAATAACACGAATACAGTCCAACACATTTCACAACTTGAGTACACAAATTAAATATCTCAACAAGCTTTCTCGTTTCTAGACTGATAAAAACATGATGATTTTATTTTATTGTGCTGTCATTGAATCAGTTTTATCTTTTCTTTGGTGTTGTTGTTATCTGTAAAGAAAAGGAACCACATCGGAACCTAACATCCTTTTACACCAGACAGTTACAGTGGTTGGCCGGTTCACTTTTCTGGACTCAAACCCTTTGCACAGTGAATTTCAGTTTCTTCCTTCTGGGTGAAGATTTCTGTGTCTTTAAGATATGAGGAAAACCAGTGTAGAACTTAACATTTCAAAATAATGTAATTATTGATAGTTTCAAATGTTGCACCGATTCCAGCAACACTACCAATGGTGCACGAAGCACAATCGACCAAACAACCATTAAAGCCATTACTCAATTCGCTGAACAACCCAACTAGTCAATCAATGCATCGATCAGCCAATCAGTCAGTGAACCAACATTAGGTCTCTATATTCTCTATCCTTGTTACTACTTGAATTAATAATTGAGCAAGACATTGATTGATTACAGAAACCTGGTTGCAGTAGGATGATTATGATAGTTTAAATAAATCAACACCCCTGAGTTAACTGTCAGAATCCTCTTAACACAGGACGATGAGAGGGTGTGGCAGGCTGCAATCTTTTCCTCGAACTTATTGATCCACCAAAGATCCAGACAGAATTTTAATTCATTTGAAAGCCTGACACTTACCCTTGTCGAAATTTAAAATATAGTTTTATTTGTTGTTATCTATCGTCCAACATGGGCCTTACTTAAAGTTTTGTCTGATTTCTCAGACCTTTATCTGATTTAGTGCTCAGATAAATATATTATTTTGGTTGATATTTAACATCAATTCAATTCAAGTTAGTTTTATATATATAGCACCAAATTACAACAACAGTTGACTCAAAGCATTTAATATTGTAGGATAAAGACATTCCCATAATACAGAGAAACCCCAAAATTCTCCTCCAGCAGAACCATGCTCAGGGAGCAGCTGCCATCTACCGCAACCACTTGGAGGTGAGGGAACGTAGACAGGACAAAAGGCATGCTGTGGTAGAGAGCAAGACATGATCGATAACTCGTAGTTAAATGGAGAGTGGTGTATAAAGCACATGGTGAGTCAAAGGAGGTAAGAGCAGGAGAAGTGCTCACTGCATCATGGGAAACCAGCAGTCTGAGAGTGACATGCTGTATTGGGGTGATATGGTACTATGAAGTCTTTAAGATAAAATAATGGGCCAGATTATTCAAGACCTTGTATGTGAAGAGAATGATTTTAAATTTTAAATCCATTCTGGATTTAACTGGGAGCCAGTAAAGAGCCAGTATGGGAGTAAAATGCCATTTGTTTCTAGTTCCTGTCAGTACTCTTGCTGAAGCATTTTGAACCAACTGAATGCTTTTTGAGTTTTTAGGACATTCTGACAATAACAAATTACACTAGTCCAGCCTAGAAGTAATAAATGTATACAAAAGTTTTTCAGCATCACTCTGAGTCAAGATGTTTCTAATTTTAGAGCTATTGTGCAAATGGAAGAAAGCAGTCATAAATATTTGTGTGCACATTAAAGGGCATATCCTGGTCAAAAACGACACCAAAATTCCGCTGGAGTGCTGGAGGCCAAGGTAATGCCATCCAGAGTAAGAATCTGGTTAGATACCATATTTCTATGATTTTTAGGGCCAACCACAATAACCTGTTTTATCTGAATTTGCCATGGAAATGAGAAATGTCCACGGCAAGCAGGAAATTAGATGTGATCCAGGTTTATGTGTCTTTAAGACATTTCTGTAGTTTAATTAGTGTGTGTTATCTGGATACATACATACACCAAATAACACGGATGTTATCATGGATAGATAAAGTTGGGTGTCCTCTGCATAGGAGTGAAAATGTATGCTATGCCTTCTAACTGCTTAAGGGAAGCATGTGTAATGCAATCAAAATTGTTGCTAGCACTGAACCCTATGACACACCATAATTAGCCTTAGTGTGTGAACAGTGACACTGATGTGGCTGTGCAGAAAACTGCAGGGTGGCCAGTTAATAACTGCACAAGTAAAAATATCAGCTGATGTTTTAGAAAACAGAGTCACTGTTTGTCCTCCAGTGACCTAACCGACAGAAAGAGAATGACATGGGGAGCATCTTTTTTTAAATGTACTTTTAGCTTTATAGTCACAGAATAAATGATCTGAACAAGTTCAGAAATACTTTTGGCCTAAATAATAGAATAGAATAGCCTTTTATTGATATTGTTCATGTACAATAAGATTGTAAAACATCTTAATAAAAAGTAGCTTTTATCTCTAGGTAAAATACAACTTTTTAACATCTGCCCCTGGGAGAGAACAGGAGAAGTGGCCTGTCTAGGAGTAGTCTGTGTGTGTGTGTGTGTGTGTGTGTGTGTGTGCGTGCGTGCGTGCGTGTGTTTTAAAACTATATACCACAATTTTTGGGAACAGGTGGTGGCATCCCCAGTAGCCCTGAAACCATAGAGTTAAACCTGAAGTTACCATGATAACCAAAAACCCTGCCTCTTGCAGAGTTCTGACTCTGCTGTGTGTCATGCTGGTAGAGATAACCCGAAAACTGTGAATTTACATCAGCCGTCAGCAGTCTACACTACCTGCTCAGGTGTATTGGCGGCTGACAACATTTCACAAACGAACACTCAGGGACTAAAAGTATGAAAAAGTACTATCAGTGCTACAAGTACACGATTATTACTTGATCATTACATGAGAACAGGTGGAACAGCACACCTGTACATGTTCCAGAACAACATGATGGAAACTAATTTTTGTTAAAGTACAACACCTTTACTGTCCTGCTGGAAAATAACGAGGGCCAAAAGTCTGAAAAAGCAGAAATGTCCCCACAGAGTGAGTCAAACACACTGTGCTGATGTAAACAGTCTGTGGGCTCGTCAGCTTAATTAATCCTGACCAGCTGCTCCTGGTAATCCTCCTTCCTCTGTCCCTCTGACCAATCAGAGCACCTGATGTCATCCTCGCTCTTCACCCCTCCTCGTGTGTGTATGTGTTCAGCCTCTTTGTGCTTGACCGGTTGCCGCGGCAGCAGCAGTGTGAGGACGGAGTTCGTATGAAGCGTCGTTGTTTTCCTCTGAGAGGAGACCACAGCCTGCTGACCCCTGACACACACACACTGTGAGTAATACACACACACACGCATTCATGCCATGAGTAACACACACACAAATGCTGTGAGTAACACACACAATCACACACAGACGGCGTGAGTAATATATACACACACACACACACACACACACGTTGACTAATGAGGCTCAAACAGTTTTATGAACCCTAATTTCCTTCGGGATTAATAAAGTATTCTGATTCTGATGAAGAAGCTGTTCTTTAGTTCTGTGCTCTTAATTACATCACTGCTGAGCAGCTGACTGGTCACCTTTACCTTTAGTGACAAACACCTGAATCTTGAAGTTTTACCAGATAATGGGAAAAGATAGAAATGGGTTAAACAAACACTGAAATCAAAACACTAAAGAAGTTATTTTTAAATGATATTTTACTTCACAAAAGTAATACATTATTTTTTAAAAATAAGGCAAAAAAAGATTGTTTTATGATGAAACAAACAAATCGATAAATACTAAATAAAGGCTTCGCTGACAAATCTGATTTTGTAGATCAGTTTTATTTTTAACCTTCTCACTGAAACCATTAAGAATCAGTTTTTACATGTCTCACTATTTCAGCCTGGGGTTGAGGCAATGTGAACAGGTGCGGTCAGGGGGTGTAGCCTCTCTCTCAGGAGGCTCATCCAGCAGCAAACCCAACACCGCGTCGGCCAGGCAGCGGCCAGCAGCATCTCCGACTCGTCGTCTGCGGTTTGAGGATGAGACGGAAAAGGAGGCGGAATCTCGTTACCTGGAGCGACAGCGGCAGAAGAGACAGACGGGGAACTGCGGAGTTGGTGTGGTGATGTCCAAACCAGACTTGAACCTGTACATCAATGGCACGGCGGAGGCAGGGCACGCGGTTGGCAAGCAGCCAAGGGGGCGAACAGTGGTGAGCAGAGCAGGTCAGAATCACACCTGTGAGAGAGGAATAAGATGCGGAGTCAATCTCTGGCAACACTCACCTGGAACTGACAAGAGGGGGAGCCTAAACAGACAGCACCTTAACCTGCGGACTGAACCAATCAGAGAGACCTACATCGGCTCTGTCACCAGTGTGGAAAAGGATGGGGCTTACACACAGGTGAGACGGCAATCAGTGGAGCTAACTGGAGCCCAGGTGACTTTTCATCAAGCCATGCCCTACGCTGGCCTGCCAATCAACCCCTATGCCCCTCACTCAATGGGGCTGTGTACCACCCGCCCGCCCAAACTGCACAGAGAGCATCAATTGGGGCCTGAGCCTAGGGAGAGGAGAGGGCGTGAGGTGGAGGAAGATCTGAACAACATGATGAAGAATTCCTCATCCTCCTCAGAGAGGAGCGCAGACACAACAGGTGAGAACTTTATCTCCTGAAAAACATTTACCTGCACACTCTGTGTTGAGCTAAGAAATTTACCTGCTAAATCACCACAGTAACTGGTGCTGAAGGCATCGCCTAGTCAGGATCAGGTGATGTTCAGAGTTTGAGTTTAAAATCAGCTGAAGAATTTCCTTTGATTCTTTTATGTGCAGCTTGTTCCTAAAGGCAGTCGATGAAGCTGCGGCAGCTCAGACTGAACATTCCTGTGTTCGTTGCTGTTGCAGAAAATGTCTAAATGTTGTTGTGCTTGATTATGATCTGCTGCTTAGTCTCTTTCACATTGCTGCAAACACAGAAAACACACCAAGCATAACTGTTCAACAATTTACATTAATTCACGCTGATCTGATTTCCATATCTTCTTAATCACCGTGTGGGACAGGAAGCTTGTATGTTAATGTTTTACATGGATTCACTGCGATTCAGATCTTAATTTTACCACTCTGTGCCACAAATTACCAGATTAAACAGCTACTGCACCATTCGTCTCTCAGATTATTTATATTAGAATTTTATGTTCTTTACAGATTTTTATCTCTATTTGTATCATCATCATCTTCTGATAATGGCTCTAACTGGACTGGCAGGACTCACAGATATCATTTAGTGCAGAGGAAGAGTCACAAGTTTTTATGTGAGCGCACTCAGAGCCTGAAGCCCAGTTTAACAAAGAAAGTTGATAACCAGTATGCTGACACCCATCATCTCTGACTGGGATTTTAAGTTTTGTTGAGCCAGCTAACACAGCGAAAGCTTGGATATCTTGAACTTCCTTGTACCTTGTAACTTCTGTTGTACCTCTAAACATAAACATGAGGCTACCATAAATCCTTTTTATCTAATCTGTGAGCAGTTTGTTTGGCCTCCAGAGTTCACTGCAGAGCTGCACATGATATCACATGCGCCTCTAAACACACCTTAACCTCTAGATTTCTAATTTGTTTACAGCTGAGAGTCATCCCCCGCCCACCCCAGAGCCAATGAGAGCAGAGCTCCACCAACTTGACGTTTCACTTCCTGCACAGTGAGTTTGTGTGATTTCATTATGACAGCTGGTCAAGGAGATGAGCATCACACCTGGATTCATGTGTTTCATGAGTTTAGTTGCAGCAGCCTAACTGATCGCTTACTTGGATTTAATTGTGTTTTGATCACATGCTCATCCCTGCTATTCAATTCAACTCAATTTTATTTAATCATCGCCAAATCACAACAGTTGCCTCAAGGCGCATGTTGTAAGGTAGACCCTACAATATTACACACAGAGAAAAACCCAACAATCATATGACCCCCTACGAGCAGGCACTTTGGCGACAGCGGGAAGGAAAAACTCCCTTTTAACAGGAAGAAACCCCAGCAGAGCCAGGCTTAGGGAGGGGCCATCTGCCGCGACTGGTTGGAGTGAGAGCAGCAAGACAGGATAAGAGACATGCTGTGGAAGAGAGCCAGAGATTAATAACAAGTATGATTCAATGCAGAGGGGTCTATAATGTATAATGTAAATGTGTGGACCTCCACAATTAACCTTAGTGTGTAAAGAGGACTCTCCATTTACATGAACAAATTGGAGTCTATTAGACAGATATGATACAACCCACTGCAGCGCAGCACCTGTAATACCTACAGCATGCTCTAATCCTTTTAACAGAAAATTATGGTCACAACAGTATTGAACACTGCACTGAGGTCCAGCAGGACAAGTACAGAGATGAGTCCACTGTCAGAGGTCAGAGGCCAGTAATGTTTTAACTACAGCCGATTATTAGAGATAGGTTGATCATATTAAAGATTGAAGCATTAATTAATGGCAGGACTTCTTTCAACGGTCTTGTAGGAATGGGGTCTAAAAGACACGTTGATGGTTTAGAGGAAGCAATTACTGACGTTAACTCAGAAAGATCAATACACTGTTTAAATCCAGCTGTGATCTCAGGTGTTTCCAGGTGAGGTGTCATGTGACTGATCTCAGGATCTGTGTTGCAGTTTAAGCAGCAGAGAAGATTCCTCCCGTCTTTCTCTGCGACGTTTTTTCTCCACCGTCACACTGAGCAGGACTCGAACCAGCAGCCTCGACCGCCTCTGCTCACGGACCCATGAGCGAACCCACCCCTCCCTCGCTGACTCCACCTCCTCAATTTCCAGGAACTCCTCCAGCCTGGTGAAGAAAACTTTATCTGTTGAGTCGCTCAGTGTGGTGAGAACATGAATTATACATATATCTATATAGCTATATATATATATATTCTTTCATCAGATGCCGAGACTACTTCTTTAACCTATCTGTTTCCTGTCTGTTCAGCAGGAAGTACCACTTTTCCAGTCAAGAAAGTCATCTTTGGAGCTGAAGAAGAAGAAAGATCGTTCTGCGAACTATAAACCGGCTGCTGAACAGTAAGACACGCACTTCTCTTTTCTACCCTGATACTCAGACCAGCCCATCACAGCCTACCCACCTGTTTGTCTCTCAGGTCCTTACCTGGTAGTCTTGGCGTCAAAGACATCAGTTGTCCCTCTTCAGTTTGCTCTGTTGGGCGGATTCTTCAGATTTGCCCTGATGGGACATTTTTATTGGAGCTTAAGCGACCAGTGGGTCAAACGTTTGGCTTCATCATCAGCAGAGGAAGAGGACGACGTGACACTGGTACTAACTCTACCGACACTTCCCCTAATACTTAATATATATACGTATTTTTTACATTACTACTGATATCATCTTAAATACTACTCACATTACTAAATATATCGACTCACTAATATGCTGGGGTCAGGGTCAAGTCTATCTGGGGACTTTATTGTCCTGCTGTGGAACAGTGATGGTAATGTAGAAAATGACAGTTCCCACAATGAAATGAGCGTGCGGCACCACCAATAGATCACAAAGCACATCACTGCCTGATGAGCCAGTCACAGCTGTTCCTTGCACCATGCAGCTTGAAGTTTCCTGGATGTAGTTCAGGAAAATGACACTGCGTTAAACAACTGCACAAGGATTGGATCACTGCCACATTTGTCCCGCCTTTCCACACAATTTAATTTGTTCTGATTAGATCTCTTTTTTATTTATTTTTTTTACAAAAGTATAAATACATTTCATCATAGTTTTTGTCCTTGTGCATCAGTTTTTAATTAATTACCATGTTGTATTGTCAGGAAAAAACAGTTATCGACAAAAACTATGCAGAAAACTATAGGTCAAAAAATGTAACAGATTGAGTGTATGTAAGCATCACAAATAAAACTACAATGTTTGGAAGACTTGTGTTAAACATTCCTTACACTGTTTGAATAAAGAAAAAACTACATTTTTATAGAGGGGTTAATAATTCTTTCCATGTAAGTGTGAGAATTTTAAAATGAATTCTAAAGTCAACTTTAGAATTGGGACCCAATGTAAGGAAAATAAAATGCAGATAATGTGAGCTGGCATCCCAGAGTGTTTCAGAAGTCTGGCTGCAGCATTCATTATTGCTTGGAGGCATAACAGAGATAATTTGTCCATGCCCATAAAGAGAGCATTTCAATAATCTAAGTGTGATGATACAAATGCATGAACAATTTTCTTCATTTCAGAGGAGGCAACTATAGCTTGCAATTTAAAAATGTTCCTTAAATGGAAGAAACAGGAATGGGAGATCAATTTTATATGCGAGTCCAAGGTCAAGGATGAATAACATACAACACCAGAGGCCATAAGAAGATCATTTATAACCTCCACTAAAGCTGTCTCTGTACCGTGAGGAACTCTGAAACCTGACTGAAACTCTTGAAATAAATGATTCCTCTGTAGATAATCAGTTGGCTGTTTGGCAACTACTCTTTCAAAAACAATTTAGGTGAAATGAAGGTTGGAGATTGACTTATATTTAGCTAAGACAGCTGGGTCAAGTGATGACTTTTTAAGTAACGGTTTAACTACTGCCAGCTTTGAGCAGTCTTGTAGGAATGGGGTCTAAAGACATGTTGATCATTTGGAGGTAGTAATTATTGAAATAAAGTTAGAGAAATCAAAATCAAAACTCTAAATAAATATCAACAGTATTGAAAGCGGCTGTATATACTGGTACATCTGTGAAATGGTTATGAATAATTTTGTTTTGCAATAGTTAACATTTTATTTGTGAAGAAGTTCATGAAGTCATTACTAGTTAATGTTAAAGGAATGGTTGGCTCAACAGTGCTCTGACTTCTTGTCAGCCTGGCTACAGAGCTGAAGAGAAACCTTGTTCTTTTTTTCTTCAATCAGTGATAAATAGTAAGACATTCTAGCTTTATGAGGGCTTTTTTTTTATAGAGCAACAAACTACTAACAGTTTGATGTACATTACAGGTGTGTATATAGAAGACATGAACAGCAGCACTGGGAAGCTGTATGCTGGCCTGCTGGCTATTGGAGATGAGATCCTGGAAGTCAACGAGGAGAAAGTGGCCTGCCTCAGTCTGGACCAGGTGACAAACCTCCTGATCGAGAACCAGTCTGTCACCATTCGGGTCCTTCGACACCAGAGGACACGTTCAGAGTGACAACCACACTGCCTGACTGAAGAACCAGTTGCCAACACTGAACCTGACTCACCTGTTTATGGCAGTAACAGAGTTAAAGCAAAACTGCAGTCTATGTCTTACACTTTCTCATGATGAGAA